AATCGGCATTCGCAGCATACGATTACGAATGATTCACTGGCGCTAAGCCGTTGAACAACTTTTGGCAAATAAACGTGGAAGAAATAGTTCCGATACTAGCAAGTCAATATTCTTATTAAGTCTCATCAAAAAATTCCTTGCCGTTTAAAAAATAAAGGGATTGCCGCATTATACTAAAGCCAGCCTTTCGACATAAGCTACTTTTCCATACGAACACAGAAATATAGGATGTATGCCAGTCAGTCTTAAAAACTTCATTACATAGTTATACTAGTCATTCTTTTTTGTCGGTTTCTTTGGTCCACGGTCCATCCAGCCAATCTGAAAGAGGAGTAGCCACAGGGATATCTCGTACATCTTTTTCACTCAAAGGTATTTCATTTTCACAGTCCACTGAAATTTCTTATTGATTAACCCACTCAATAATATCCTATAAACCCAACGAAAGCTAAATGGCATTTTTAGTGAAAAAGTGTGAATGTGTTGCTATTGTTTTGTGAAAATTGTTTCATGTGAACGCCGTGTAAGAAACGTATCGTAATTTGTTTGAAGTCACGATAGTCACAATAGTGTTCGAACTGCATTTTTCGGTTATAATAGACACCGAAAAGTAACGTTTTTTTTTAGAAAAATAGAAAAATTAAAGCAAAAGTTGTACAAAATTGTAATATCCTCCGTATTTAATGTATAATGTATTATTTAATATGTATACTTTAATTGGGTGAATTTTCGTATTTTATAAAGAACAATTTTGAATAAGAATACAAGAAAAATAATATTACGTAAGAATCTACGGGACGCCTCCCCCCCCCCCCATATAAGAAAAAGTAAGAAAATTCTAGACCCGCCCTCCCCCACAAAGGTCTTACGTAATATATGGACAGCCCAAACATGCTTGAGTTAGTTTTCGAACTTTTTGTTTTGTTGGTGGCTTCAAAACTTCACATTATCCGCTCGCTCACATTGCGATGCATCTTTTCGTTCAACCGTAGTTGTTAATTTTTTCTTGGTAGAAAAAGGTAACGGATTCCCATTTTCACCACTGGGATCTTACGTAAATCGTAATATCTTTCCGAAATATTTTGACGGTAGTCTTAATATAAAATAAATTATATAATTCCGGTGGAAAACCGGACATTAGGCATATGAGCTTTTTTAAGATTATATATAATTTGGTAAAAAAAGGTCACGCGACCAACTTCGAGAAAGAATATATGGTATGTACATATAGATGTATGTGGAACCAGTGGCTAATGCAGAATTTTGGTTGTGGAGGCGCGACTGGAGTAATTTTTGACAAGTTAAACTCGTCCAACACGTGTCACCGATGAGTGACCTCTCCAAGCTATTTGACCTAACATAAAAAATTTTACATCAGATTTCCTACAGTAGTCTGTCATTCAAACTCGTTTAACCTTCAATGGGATCTGGATAACATTGTCGTTGGTACTTCTTATTTATAACTCGTTGTAATCTGTATGTAAATAAATAAATAAATGAAATACATATGTGACACGTAAAGTTAAAAGGGACCTACGCTCAGAAAAAAAGATTTCGAGAAAAACGACTTTGAAGTTTACCAAGTTGATTTTGATGCTTCTGAAAGTTTTAATGGATTGAAACTCGTTACTCGGGGGTTTTCGGGGTCGCTGATTACGAATCCGATGTTAGTTTCCCAAATTTCAAAATGCCGAATCCAAAATGGCGGATGACTTTTTTAAAAATTGATCGTAATCGCTTAAACTCGTTACTCGGGGGTTTTTGGTGTCGCTGATTACAAATCTGATGTTCGCTTTTAAAAATTCAAAATGGTGGATCCAATATGACGCAAAAAATTTAAAATTTGTACGGATTCATGTGAAGCTCAAAAATGTCGGCGACACCGAATTTTGAAAAACTAACATCGGATTCGTAATCAGCGACCCCGAAAACCTCCGAGTAACGAGTTTCAAGCGAATTCAATTAATTTCAGAATAGTTTGTCAGGATTGATTTTTTTGTACTTTTTTTTTGTGAAAGTACCTAACTTTGAAGTGAAATTGTGAAAAAACTAATGCAGCTATTGCATTGGAAAGAGCGTCCCGTTTACTATAAGAGTCGATGAAAAAGTGAAAACCGATTTTTTTCTGACCGTAGGTCCCTTTTAACTTTACGTGTCACATATATCAAATAAAACACCTCTTTGAGGTAAAATTTTCGAGGGACGAAAGCTGAACTAGAAACACAAAATTTGTGATATCAATTTCGTGAGGAAAGTTATACGCATTTTTTAACTGCCTTGGAAACGAAGGGAAAATCTTTTTTGTTCATACAGTTAAAAAATGTGTATAATTTTCGTCACGAATATGATATCACAAATTTTGTGTTTCTAGTTCAGCTTTCGTCACTCGAAAATTTTACCTCAAAGAGGTGTTTTATTTGATATAAATTATTTTGGGGTAGCAAATTTAAAATCGACGAAAATACAAACAATGAAATAAATGTTTTATTTTTCTCAAATAAATTGCTAAAAATATTCTCTAAATCTAAATTATGCATTTAAATCGATGTGTTCATTGAAACACATAATTTTTCGAATACGGAATAAAGCGAAAAAGAATGATAATATCCTTTGTTTTCAAAAAAATTAAAAATAAAAAAATAGGAGAAATGATAAAAACTTGTCAACTTGGTACCAACTTTGGGTGATAAACCCATGTAGCATAGTTAAATACTGTGTACATACCTGCAATTAAAATGGGGAAAAATGTTACAATTTCGGCATGTGACTGAAAAAAACTCTAAAATACACATAAATTGTGGTTTCCAAGACATGTACGAAGTGATTAGCACAGCTACATCCTTCAACTTGTCAACTCGCGGGAAATCCCGCAGGGAATTTCGGTTTAAGTGGCAATCGGGGAATGGGCGATTTTTTCGGGGAACTCGGTATGTTATTTTAAAGTAACCAAATTAGACGGATATGTTAATTTTTAACCATTTGACCCTTTTTGGAGCGACATGTTTTCAATTTGAATAGCAATGGGCTTGTTCGAGGCACGTAATAAAAGCGGCATTACTGCCGTACTGATGAAAAATGGCAACATTGTTGCAACTACCCAACTGATAATACATTGCTAGAAATTCACACAGAAAGTGATACTTTAATAATTCGCACAACAAGAGTTTTTCCAGATACAAGCTATATACCAGATGAAAGCGAAGGTTTTGAGCTAGATTTGTGGAAACTTAGAATAAAATCGACTGACCGGTTTTTAACAAAATGCCCGAAATGTATATTTTCAGCCGCCCGATTTTTAGTTTTCAGGCGATAACGTTATGACATATTTATGTTTTATAAACACAAAAGATAGCGTTAGATAGCTTGTTTGAAAACCCTTCTACTGATTTCCACACCAATGACATGGATTGTTTATAAAATTGCCTTTTTTCGAATTTCAGGCAGCAGCCACGCCCACACAGGCATACGAATCAAAACATCCTGGAACAAAACCTTCTTAGTTTTTTGTGTACTTTAATTCCTGAAAGTTTGAAAAAAATTAAATGAAGGTACCCTGCAAAAAATGGGACTAATCCGGGATGACTCCGGGAGCAATCGCAAAGGAGCATGCGACTAATACCACTTTTGATATCTTTATATGGAATGAACTGTTCGCTTTTGTTCGAGCATGTCCTATGAAGAGACTAATTGTTCCCCTTTATACCCGAACGGGTATAAAAAGTGACTAGTCACTTTTAAAAAATAAAAATAAAAATTTGCGCCAGCTGAGATTCGAACCGCGGTGCTCAGTTTTGTTAGGCGAATACTCACTCTGCGTGCCAACGCCGCACATGAAATTTCATTGACTAAGTGCGTACATATCATTAAATCGTTAATAGTACCCGTTAGAGATGAGTTGGGGACTAATTGATCTCCAATTATACCCATAAGGGATGAGTCTAGACTAATTGACCTCCATTAGTACGGTTCTGAGACTAGTTGGGACTAATTAATGCCCAATTGTACCCGATTGAGAGTAATCTCGGAGATTAGTCACACAATTTTTTGCAGGGTACGTACAGACGCCACATACATACCAAAGCATCTCGTAGTGGAGACACGAACCAAAACACATTTAGCTCTATATCTTTCCAACTATTAGCCGGAACTCAATATATAAGGTATCGTTTGAAAAGTATTGGCCTATAGAATAATACTTAATATGTTGGGTGTACCCACATGCCCCTTTAAACCGGCAAAAGCAAAAAAAACGTTTTTTGTTTCGCAACACTTTAGCCTAAATTTTAAAAAGCCGGTTGATCGTTTATGAAGCTTGAATACATTTTTTTGACACACTCTGCAAGACCTTTCCAGCGATATCTCAAACATGTCGATTGGGCGTCTGGATAAAAACTTCCAAATCTCGTGTATATATAAGCGAGTCATTTCAGCATGCTGTGTGGTGATTATTATTGTGCACGTGTGTTTGTGGGTAAACTCCTAAACGGCTCGACCGATTTTAACGAAACTTTTTGTGTGTACTTCACTGGGTCCCTGGATAGTTTGGATTCACAATTTGTGTCGCCGGTTGGCGCTGGAGTCTTATTTCGTTGTTCGAAGAAACCGAATGCAGAACTATTTGGACAAATTCTGTTTATGTTCTAACTCCGTCTTGAAAAAAACGCTTTGGACTACTTACTTAGCGCTCAAAATGAATTTAGTTTTGGTTATTTTTTAAAGTTGTATTTATAAAGTTGTTATTTATAAAAACTGATAGTTACTTAATTGTAATTGTTAATTTTGCATCCAATATAATAATGCCTAAAAGCATACATAGAAACTTTTTAGTGCCAATATATATCCTCATTATTACAACTATAGCAAAAGCTTTTGCTATATCCACCACACTTTGAGCGTGTGTATTCTCTGCATATTACCTACATAAAAATTATTATAAAATATACTCATTTGTGCTTGAAATGTCTGTATAAGACAAGTGTGATGTGCGCACACGCTGACAAGATACCGAAGCTGAAATACAACTTCTGGAGCTGCGACGATGACGTGAAGCAAAATTCAGCCAGTTGTTCACAAGCGTATTCAACGTGATACGCATCGTACTACCAGAACAGCGTATAAAGCTCACCAAGAGACGAATTATAATTGGAACTCTGGTATTTTGTTTCATTTCTTTTTCTGTTTATAAGCACGTCCAGAAACGAAATGCAGCAAAAGAGGCGCAAAGCCAAAGTAATAAACAAAGTGACGGAAAACTTCATGATTGGCACGACTACGCCGCTATGTCTCGCGATGCTGTGCGCATTGGAGCAGGTGAGCAGGGCCAGCCAGGTACCTTAGCGAATGTGGAATATAAAGACGCAGCAGCTGCAAGCTTGCGCCAATACGGCTTTAATGCTTTACTCTCAGAGCAAATTTCATTGCCGCTGTTGCAACCAATCTTTGATGATCCACACACCAGCACGACGCCACTAATAGATACTATTAATTATGCCACTTTCGAATACATAAGGTCGTCACCTTCGCGTGGTGGATTTGATTGGAACTTCAATTACGTACAGCTGCCGTTACTGGACGAAGAACGAAGAGCGCTGCCGGCACCACACAGCAATCCTGTGATGAACGGAGGCCTTTTTGCAATCGAAGCGAAGTTCTTTTGGCATTTGGGAGCATACGACGAAGGCTTGGATGTGTGGGGCGCCGAGCAATTTGAGCTCAGCTTCAAAATATGGATGTGCGGTGGCCGAATATTAGAAGTGCCGTGCTCACGCATGGGACATCTTTACCGGGATGGAGCATTTCACGTCAAATACACCAATCGCTCCGATGATTTTATTTCGAGGGTGAATCCACCGCAATACTTATACCAACATCCTACCCATATTTAACCTAAAGATCTTTTTTTGGTAGAATTACAAACGCGTCGCATCAGTATGGTTGGATGAATACCAAGCAGCTTTATATGAGCACATTCGCACGCTTGTCCTACTCGATGCAGGTGATGTAAGCGCGCGGCGTACTCTACGACAGCGGCTGAAGTGCAAAACGTTCAAATGGTACCTCGAAACTATTGCACCAGACTTAGCGCAGACATATCCACCAATTGAGCCACCAGATTATGCGTTTGGTGCACTCCAAAGTTTTGCTGCGCCGCAGTTTTGTTTGGATTCAATGCATCTGCCATCTCGGCAACCAATTGGCGCCCTGCGACCTTGTTCGCCTGACCTGAAGTACCCATACACATCGCAACATTGGCAGCTTACCTTTCGTCGTGATCTTCGCCAGCCAGATGGAAATTGTCTGGAGGTGCAGTCATGGACACTCGATGCACCAGTTTGGCTATGGCCGTGCCACCATCAGGGTGGCAATCAATTTTGGTATTACGACCAGCAAACACAGTTGCTAGTGCAAAGTGAAACGGAAACAGAGCGGAGATGTCTGGTGGCGAATGTGACGGCTAGGCGGGCGTAGATGAATTTCTGTGATTTTTCCGATATGAACATGAAGTGGAATTTCAGATTTGTCAACAAAACAATAATGGGAACATTTTTCAAGGGATTAAGAACGAATGAATATGAAAGTTGAGAAATTGGTTGAATTTCGCATGTTCTCAATGTGTATTATATAGTTATTACATACGGAGTAAAAAAATCTATTTTATTTTATTACTTATAACTTACCACGTTTATATCAACTCGCTTTCTTGTTTTCAAAGATTTCAGTACAAACTTTGCGCTGCGTTCAATACCGCTTGAGCTTTGCCTTGGTATGGAAATAGGGTGCACAGTGTGAAACTTCCAAAAATACATACACTACACTATTGTACACTATATGTACAATAGGACAAAAAAATGCCAAAAATCCACGGTACGTCCTAACTACTTCAAACTTTCACTTGTTGTACTAGAATTGAATGGGCTAAGCTGTTTGTTTTGATTTGTTATAATTATAAAATGTTGATTAAAAAAAAAATTTGTATGCAAAATAAACACAACCGAAACAAAATTTAAGACTCCCGTTAATTTCTTCCTGTTCCAGTGATCGGATCTAAACGAAATTAGTATGGGCCCACCTCTGAGGTACCAACTTTACTTAAAAAAAAATATATATAAAATTATAGAAATCGGTTAACGTGGTCCAAAGTTATGTGGTAAAATACATACCAAAAAAATAATCCGACGTATTGATATCCTCCTCCTTTAGATGAACTCGGTTAAAAAAGAGAAAACTTTTTTCATTAAAAATTCTTATTTTTGCGAGCGCTAACTGAAAAATGGAGGAAGGCGGCTGAAAACTAGCCACATTTTTTATATGGGACCGAAAGAAACCAAACATTCGTTTTATTTGACACAGTCTAATGTACATACAATTTCAAACTGGTGTAGTCGGTAAACTTAAGCTATTCAACGATAAATCCACCTACCATCGTCTTCAATTTGGTGACTCTAATATACATACACCGTCTGACACAAAATCTGACTAAATCATGGAGTACTGGAACAGACTAAATATGATCAGCTGTTTGACTTGACTATCAAGTTGCCACGCGACTTGAAAGGAAAAATTGATATCAAATCGATGACCAAGTTTTAAAAGTGCAAGTGCGCTTGATCGTGTAACGTCCAAGTAAAAAGAAACAAGCGATATTTTGCGTTTACACGTTCAAAAATTGTTTTTAATCTGCTCACATGTATAGTTTTCACACGTAGGGGTCGTCTTTACTATTGTTTCATATTTTATTAAACACACAATTTTCTGAAAACAAAAGTTCACTTCCCAAAGCTTTGATCGCTCAGCTGTTGATATTGAACGAAAAATGGCCGATGGTTTTGAAAGAAAAATTGCTTTCAAGCTGATAGGCAATTTGCAAAGTGTGAGTGATTCAGAGTTTTTTCTTTATTTGAAATAAAGTTAACCACAACGTTTAAAGTAACAAAAAAATTTAACAAATCTTGGAAGGTACATAATCTTTTTTGCAGGGACCGAAAACAGTTATTTTTTTTTAAAGTCGCCTTGGCCAAATGTTTATATAAATGTCATTTCCTGATAACAAACAAACCGCTTATCCAAATTAAACAAATTTATCATTATATTATTTATTTATATTTGTTTATAATCTAATACAAAAGAAATTCATATACCTGATCCAAGGCTTCTTCTATGGTAATTAAATAACAAATGACAAAAACCAAGAAAACCAAGAACCACAAGTTTAAATAGCACTGGAATAGCTGCGATTGATTGTAGTTGGCTTCACAAATGAAAAAGTGGAAAAAACAATAAGGGTTTATAAGGCGAAACTTCCCAGCAAAAAACGCGATTACGACAGAAACGAAAGTCGAAACGAGCTAGGCGATGGGAATCGCTTACCTTTTCGCTTCAAGAAGGAATTATTTTAACATGGGCGTATCGTTGGCCGTAAGCTCTTACCCCCAGCATTACATTCGAACGAAGGGAGAAAGCATGGAAAAACAGAATCCAGAGAAGCTAACAAAGAATGCCTTACAGAGAAACTAATATAGAATGTCTACATAAGAACATACTTATTTATATTAAATTGAAATCAGAAAATGTCTTAAAAGATTAAAATTAATTAAAATTTTTATAAATAAGTTTTTATGTATGTGCATATGTATGTTAGGTATTTAGATTTTACTTAAAAATCGGTATGTACATACATGCATATTTAATTAAGCTTAAAATTGTACTTCCTCACTCTTGTACTTCACTTCATTGACTGACTTCAACTTCGCTGAAAATTGAACAAAGCAAAACATGATTTTTATGCGAGAAAAATTTCCACAGCAAGTATCGGTACAAAAAGAATTTTTGGATATTCATTCTATTTTTCAGCTGACTACGATACATTGCTATGCCTTCTAGAACACGTTACCACTAAAAGCGATTACCGATTTTTTGCTGGGTTAGCACAGTGCGTAGGCAACTGGCTGAGTCTGATGGGCTCGTTGGATCGAATCCCACTGAAAGAAGTCTGATATGGAAATGCGGTGATTTCCGAAATAGCTATCACTTCTACCATTTTCATAAATTATTGCTGCTTTTCCACAATAGTTTTGCATTAAAAAACGGCTTCAAGCTCAATAAAAATTGTTGAATATAATTGTTATAAGGCCATAAAATAACAAAAACAAGTAATTAAATAACATTTCTTACTAAATTTTTTTTTCCAATAGGGGGCTTTCCTCGTTTAGACATTTCAGTTTTAAAGCTATTTTAGTCCTCTTTGATTTGATACCAAACTTGTTTAATTTGGATAAGCGGTTTGTTTATTATCAGGAAATGACTTTTGTATAAATATTTGGCCAAGGTAAAAAAAATTATCGTTAGTTTCGGCCCCTGCTTTTTTGTGAAACTTATTTTAATATTTTTATTTCAAAACCGAAACCAAATTTGAAGAACGAAATCAAAACCGAAACCGAAACACTTTACTGAACCGAAACCGGAACGTTCCTTGATTAAATATTTATTCACTTGTTGAATATTTACTTTTTCTTAAAATATTATATAACTTGTATTCTAAATGTTTTTAACCGACTTCAAAAAGGAGGTTATCAATTCGTAGGTATATCCATAAAATTTTTCTTCAAATTACTATTCTGTCATCTCTATTCTATGGAGGCATTCAAACAAAATATCGACCAGGGTTGCCACTGACTAAAAAAAATAGTTACCATTCAATTGAAAAAAATCAAAAAAAAAATGTATAAAAATTCTGATCGAACAAAATTCTGTATTCTGTATTTTTAATTCTGCTTTTTCAAAATTCTGTCTCACGAAGTTCTACTTTTCGCATCCTTGGCCCATATCTCTCTATGTACGTACATAATTTTAGGAAATAAACTTTCATTTTCAATACATCGTGATATGTATACACCATTATTTCGAAATTTCAATTTTGTGGGAAAACGCAATCAAATGGTGCATTTACATGGTATGAATCTTTTCATAATAATAATAATAATATAATAGATTGGCGCTTACACATATGTTAGTGTTTGGCCGAGCTTCTCCTCCAACTTGTAGCGTGCGCCTTGATATTGTCACACAAAGCGGAGGGACCTACAGTTTTACGCCGACTTCGAACGGCGATTGTATTTTTATGAGAAGCTGTTTTTCATGGCAGAAATACACTCGGAGGTTTGTCATTGCCTGCCGAGGGCGACCGCTGTTAAGAAAAACCTTTTTCTAAATTTCTTGCGATGTTGCTTTGACCAGGGCTTGAACCCAGGTGCTGGTGAGTGAAAGCGCGCACTGCTTACCACTACACCACAGCGGCCGACGAATCTGTTCATAAGCCCTATGAATTTTCCTATAAACAACTCTATGAAGAAATGAATGAAAGCGATATATATTTAACAATTTTGACTTGTATGCTTGGCAAGTATTTATTTGTAAACAACAAACAAAAAAATTTCATTTTGTGCCAATTTCGAAACTATGTAGAAGCTTATTTTTCTTTAATATGCTTTAAAAAGGACCTATTGCCAATAAAGCCTTGCGGTTTGCCATTTTTTCAAATCTGTAATGCTTCCATTCAAACATCTTTGTGGATAAACAGTTTTTTATTCAGAAATTGCTTGTTTACGTTTTTTGTCTTTCATATTAAAAACGTTTTTAATAAGTTGAAATCATAGGGATGCCGTTTTCTTTCGTTTCTCAATGGATTTTATACCTGAAAAGGCACCAAAATATGTATGCAATACCTTTACATATCGTCATTTAAAGTA